GTTGGTATTGTTGGTCCAGGATTATCAAGAGAAGCTCATTTAGTTGCTGATTTTGGTAAAACAATTGGTATACCTGTTATATCGTACAGTGTAACTGATCCTGATTTATCTAATCGAAATATTTATCGAAATTTTTATCGTACAGTTCCTTCAGATAATTCAACTGCATTAGCAATTGTTAAATTATTTGTTCGATTTAATTGGACATCATGTATAGTTATTTATCAAAATGATGCATTTGGAACTGGAGGAGCAAAAATAATAAATGAAGCATTCATTAATAATAATTTATTTATTGAACAATTAATTATATTTGATATAACGACAGTTCGTATTCGAGGTGATTTAAAAAGTTATTTAATAAATAGTCCAACTCGAATTATTATTTTATGGGTTCAATCAAATTATATAAAATCTATTTTGGAAAATGCTATTCAATATGATCTATTAGCTCCACAATTTACATGGATATTAAGTTCAAGTATTTCATTAAAAAATTTTAATGAAACAGTTTATGAAAAATTAATTGGATTATTTTCAATTGAACCTGTTACAGCTAATGTTGTTAATGCACCAATAAATCAAACATTATTAAATGCAGCCTATCAAATTTGGCAACAATATGAACCAGAAACATTTCCTGGTTCATCAAATATAAATTCTTATGCATTATTTGCATTTGATGCAACATGGACATTAATTAAATCATTAGAAAAAATTTGTTCAACAATGAAAAATAATTCTTATTCATGTTTATCTTTTATTGGATCTTCATTTTGTTTTCATCGACGTTTTGTTCATTCTGATTTATTATTAAATGAACTTTGTCTAACAAATTTTCTTGGTGTATCTGGTTATATTAAATTTAATTTTAATGTTACCGATCGAATTATTGGATCGTATTATTATCTACAAAATGTTCAACCGTCTGTCAATGGTTTAAATTTTATACCAATATTAGAATATTCGGATTCAACTAATTGGAAAACATCGAAACAAACAAATGTTATTATTTGGCCTGGAAATTCTCTAGTATCTCCTACTGGTCGAGCAATACTTAAAGGTATATCTTTAAGAATTGGTGTTATTGAATCAATCCCATTTACAATAGTTACAAATGTTATTGATGAATTTGGACAAAATACAACGAAATTCACTGGTTATGTACCTGATCTTATTGAATTGTTAGCTGATAAAATTGGATTTATTCCAAATATTCAATTAGCACCATTAAATCAAACATATTCAGGATTAATTCAAGCAGTAGTCAATGGTCAGTATGATATTGTTCTTGGTGATGTTACTGTTACTGCTATACGAAGAGAATTAGTTGGTTTTTCTAATGCTATATTTGATAATTCTTTACGTATTATTATGCGAAAAACACCATATGTTACTATTGAATTATTATCATTTTTAAAACCATTTTCACGTAATCTTTGGTTATTAGTCTTAGGTGCTTGTATCTATGCTGCTTTATTAATTTGTCTTGTAGAAAAAAACGATAATGAAATATTTCAAAATCGATCAATATTATCTCAAATAACAATGAGTATTTGGTATTCATTTGGTAATATTGTTGGATATGGTGTAGATTTTCATGTTAATACTGCTGCTGGACGTTTATTAACAGCTGGTTTATATATGTTAAGTTTAATATTAGTAGCTACATATACGGCAAATTTAGCATCTGATTTAACAATATCAAAATCAAAAGATATTATTTCAGGAATAAATGATATTAAAAATGGAAAAATTCCACATAATCGTATTGGTATTCGTATTGGTACAGTTAGTGAAGATTATTATTTAAGAGAAATATCTTCTGGTAGTCGAAATTATTATCCATTAAAATCTCGACAAGATTTATATGATAGTTTACTTGCTGGTATTATTGATGCATCTTTTATGGATATTGGTACTGGTGAATATATTACTAATAATATTTATTGTAATTTAACTTTAATTGAAGATGATTTTGATAAAGGAGTTTTTGGAATTGTTACTCCCAAAGAATGGTTATATACTAAAGATTTAGATGTTAATATTTTATTATTAAGAGAATCAGGTCAACTTGATGATTTAAGACAAAAATGGTTTAAAAAAAGAAATTGTCCTAATTTAGATGAAACATCGATTTCTATGGAAATTGATTCAATGAGTGGATTATTTTTAATTTTTGCACTAATTACTTTTCTATCATTATTATTATCAATATGGTCAAAACGATTAATAATTAAAGATAACTTACTTAATATACTACATCGAAAGGGATTCTTATTGAAAAAGAAAGCCAATATGATAAAGCAATCTTCTAAACCATCAAAATAAACTGAAAAATCTATCATACCTTCATCTACTATTGTACAATTTTGACCATGAAACTCTCTTTACCTTTATTTGCTAGAAAGTTGATTTACCTCTATGCCGTTATTTTATTTTTCATAATCAAAATCATACTAAAAAAAAAAGTCAGAAAAACTTTTATGCAGGGCATATAAAATGTTGAATTAATGTATGTTTAATAATATATGATAAAACAAATCAACAATTGTGAAAAGCTTTCGTTCATTGAATTCGAGTCTTGTCAAATAATTTTGATATTTTTTTCATTCAACATAGTTTAACACATTTCGTTTATAAAGTAGTTTTAAGTCATAATCAATTTAATGAAGGTAATTGATAGTTTGTCCTTCTTCAACAGACTGTCTTTGCACGCAAGACAATTTGATTAGAAAATGTTGCCAAACAGCTCTTTTCAATTAACAATGATTGTGTAGATGCACGATAGACAAAGTGTCTCCAGTGGATCTTCATGTAGTATTGAACAATGTTTTCCGCGTACAAATAAACAACTCAAAAATGATTGTAATCCATTATAACATACATTTTCGAGATAATTCTTTTTGTAATTCACATTATCTCTCTAGAACTTAACTATTCATGCTCATTAACAATTTATCTTCGTGTGCTCGTCATTTGGAGAATATTTAATTCGTGATTCGATAAGAACTCTTGTTGCCGCTAAGATAAAAAATCAACGATATATGACGAAAAAAAGTTGCAATTTTTTCTTTGTTACGGAATCTACCCATGCTTTCCATTTGTAAACAGAAATGATTAGGGATTGAAAAGAAAGATTGTATCGAGTTTTCAACAAAGAAAACTTAACTTTGGTTTTTGGACTCTGAAATTATGAAGACGAGAGTTAGATGATCAACGATTATGTTGTGAACAATTAAAACTTTTAATATAATACTTCTTGAAATTTCGATTTTGCACATCCTACGGATGAATAAGTTTACTAAGTTTTTTTCTTCTGTATCATGTAATATTAATGATCGCATAATTATCAAATGAATTACCATTTTAATTTCTAGGAAAATCGATTTCATATGCATTAGTGAAAAATTGATAATGGCTAATCAAGATAAACTTAATTGGATATTTAAGAGAAAATCAGATGATAGACAGCTAACAGAGTAGGATGATTCTTAAAATAGCATCGTATTTTATTTCATCCTTGCATAGATAAGTCTTACATGATTACAAATATCAGACAAATTTTCTATAAGTTGCTGAAAAGTCTAGTGATAATTGTCATTATAATTACTAGTTTTCAAATTAAATTTATACTCTAAAACTGTCACGTATTCTTCTGTGTTCTTCGATAAAAAAATTATTTCATTGATATTCATTGAAACTGGAATTTTGAATATAACAATTGAACGTAAGAGTATAGTCATATTCTCATTCTGCTAATATGTTTCTCTATTATGGTTTTTTTTCGAATTGGAGTTCATTGTAAAGTCCAACGATAATGTAGTTTTAGACCTTTATTTAAATCTCGTTGCCATAATCGAAAATATCAATTTTTGAAGTAGGGAGATGACTTTTTCCTTTATGATGCAAATCAACTTTAATGACTACTAATATTTTTCGATATTGGTAATATTCAACAATGATTTCAACAATAATTCTTCGATCAGTAGCGCACATCATATATGCGATTTAGAATCAAGTAGTTATGTTTCAAAGAAGCATTTGAATTTGTATTCTTCATTCAAAACTGGCCTATGCTACTCTTGACTATATACTTGTTTACTATATGTGGCAAGTCATTTTTCAATTGTTTGTCTTTTTATTCATATTATTATTTAGTTAACTGCTCTTCATCATTTTGGCAAAACTTCTTAGAAAGAGTTGCTTGTTATACTTCATCATATGATTATTTGAAAACGAATTATTCATCTTATTAATTTGTTTTTTTTTTACTTATTTAAAATTTATATTATGTAGAATCTATCATTAATATATAGATGAATTAAAAAAAGAGATTTATCGAAAGATAAAATTTTAACACATACTCAACATGTTCTTTTTGATACAATTCTTTCCTAATTATTATAATCGTTTTTCACTACGAATACCATCTAGAGCAACTACAACAATTGTATTACCTTCTTTAACAATGAAAAATATATACACTTAAAATATCTGATTCAAAACTTTTCTGTGTGTATTAAGAATCAACAAGTCACTCCTCCTAGGGAAACTTTAGTTTCAAATCTTCAGAGTCAGTCAACAGTAAGAAAGACTTGATTATCACTAACAGCATAGTCTAAAAAATACGAATTAATAGTAATTTTAATCCATTCATTCTAGAATTAAAAAAAAAACTTCAATTTATAGTGCATTAAAAGATATAGAAATTTAATGAATATTCTCAATAAATTACTGAATATTGTTAGATTATCAAGCGTCAGTTAATAATAAAATTTAACGTTTAATTATAAATAGTCTTGAATTAGATGATGCAGTTATTTATTATTGCATTTGTCGAT